GGGGGGCGGAGTGAGTAGGCGTTGGCGGTAGATAGGGCGGGAGCTACGTGTTGAGCTGAGGGAAGGCCTTCATCACGACCCATTAGGAGTGGAGGGGGAGCCAGGTGGTGTGGCCCAGATGCCCCGCTAAAGCCGCGCGGCCGGCGGCCGAGACGCGTGCGGCTGTGGCAGGAGTCGCATCAAACGCGCGGCACAAATATTTCAGCTCGAAGCGGGGAGAGCCACGCGCGCGCGTTTGCTCTCCAGGGGGCTCTCTTTCTCTCTCCCCGGGCGCGAAGAGGGGAGGGAGGGGTGATTCAATTGCGAGTGGAGGCACGGCCGTGCGCGAACGTAATCGGTGACATGAAAAATGTAGACAAAACTGTTCGGTGGAGATGAGCGCGACCAAAAGGAACGGAAGAACAAGAAGTGACCGTCCCACACATCCCCTCAGCACTTCTGCTGTGCCATATAGCATGGGCGGAGGTGGAGCTGACCGCAGAGCCGCAAGGAGGGTGGTCTTCATAGAATAGGACCCGTTCCAATTTTCTTTATCGCGTCCTCCGCCCCTTCTCTAGCCTTTGGAACTTTGACAGATATTATTACACTGCCAAGAATTGGCAGCTCTCTCTCTCCCCCTCTCCCTCTCTCTCTCTCTCTCTCTCTCTCTCTATCACACCACACACGCTTCTCCCTCGGTGTCTCTCCGGTGGGCCTCGATCGCCGGCGCGCTAACGCGCCAAGTGGTGGTCCGCTGCACAGTAGAGCCCCTGTATGGAGTGCGGCTCGAGCGGCGGGGGAGGGGTTGGCTGCGGCGCGGGAGGGGAGGAGGAGGGGTGCCTCCGGGGAAATACAGGCCGGCGGGGCTGGGGCTCAGCTTAGATCGGCCCAGGCCCGGCCGCTTTGGGGGCGCGTTTGTTGGTCAGTTCTCTCTCTAGTCCCTGCCCCCCCCCCCTCTCGGCCAGGCCCGGCCGGAGCCGGGAGCATTGTAAAGCCTCAGAGCAGACCCCCGGTCCGGCGAGAGCGCACGTTCGAACTCACCTCAACCCCCTCGGCTCCGGGCTCCGGCTGGGGTCAGCGGCGGGGGCTGTCAGTCCCGGAGCAGCATGTTACACACGTCAGGCCGGAGAACAAAAGATACCGTCCCTACACGGCGTAACGCCGGGCCGCGCCGGGCGGGGGCCCCTTGTTGTATTCTTATGGGACCGCGGGCGGCGGGGCGGGAGGGGGCCCTGGCTCCCACATCGAAAAATAAAAATAAAATCGTCCGAGTTGCGCTGCCTGCAAATCTGCACTAAACTTTTATCAATGCACCCTCGTAATTGTGCTTTTAGCTCGTGCATTAAATTCATTACACAGACCAAAACATGTACCGTCGCTGTAAAAGCTGTGATTGTTTTTGTTGGGTTTTTTGTTCGTTTTTTTTTTTTTTTCGACTAAACCATTCTGGTAAAGCTGAGGAAAAGATGCATGCATGCATGCGGGGGAAGCAAGAAAGCGAAAGTCACCATTTTACTGCATGGTGATTTCTGTTTCCTTGTTCCTCGAATCTTCTTCCTTGTTTCAGCTTGTCCGGAATGGTTTATTCCATCAAATATTATGTTCTTGCTAAATGACAACTTGTGCTGACGATGTGAATGTCTGCCCCGTCCGGCCCCGCCGCAGGACGCAGCGCGGCGAGAGCGTGTCCGCTGACTGGACCGCGACGCACCACAACTTCCACGTGGGCATCTACGGCTGGCGCAAGCGCTGCCTCTACCTCCTCATCCTGGCGCTGCTCGTCATGGTCATCGTCAACCTGGCGCTCACGCTCTGGGTCCTCAAGGTCATGGAGTTCTCCTCGGTGAGTGTTCGCCGTGCAATGACTGTAGTCTTGTTGCTCGACGTCTTTCAAATAAACAGGGGGATAGGTATAGTCCCTCTTCCATAGAACTGCTAGAAAAAATTAGATTACATTTTTATTACGCAATAGTTTTCAAACCAGGAAATAACAAGGAATGTTTTCGAAACATCTACATTTCCTAGGCATTTCTGTGAGGTTTCGAAAACAAATCTTTATTGCCAATGTAGTTGGCGTTGGCGAAGCTAGCGGCTGCGAAGAAGGGGAAGGTGGTAGGGGGTCACTGGCCGGCGTGCAATGTCTCACCTCCTCTCTCTCTCTATCTCGCTCCCCCACGCATGCTTGCCTGTCGCCATTCGTCTCCCTCGCACCCACAATCGTCTCCGCCACAATTCATCCCTCCCTTCTTACCTCGCCCTGGGCCGCTCTGATCTCCTCGACTCAAACATATCGCACTCCCCACACGAGGCGGCGCCGCCGCTCGAGGTCTCCTTCTCAAAGAGAACTTACTCTCCCATAAAATTTTACTCAGGGAAAAATGCAAATGTATGCGTAAACTTGCTGCTCAAAATTTGGGTTTGAGAAATGGTGTAAAGGTAATGGGGTTCGTAGATGAAGAATTTTTTTTAACCATACGTGAACTATGCACACAATTTGCATTTCTCAAATCCCAAAGCAACTTTTTTTTGTAAAGTTCCATACTGATCGCTAACGGCAGCGCTTCCTTCAACGCCTCGGCCTTGGCCACCATGCCGCGCCAGACACGCAAACAAAACATAATTTTGCATATTTGCCACCCCGAACCGAGTATGGCAGATAGGGGCCTGAGAAGGGTCGGCGCACTTTTGTGTAAGCAGGAAAGGAAAGGCGTCCGTCGAGGAGGGCGGTCCATCCCAACACACCAAACCGGACCAAAAATACAGAAATAAAATGAAAAATAAAAATAAATGACATCCTTTCCTTGATTCTTGTCCTTAGCAAGTTGCTCGAGCCCGGCAGCAACAAGCCGGCTGTCGAGAGTCGAGCCCGACACCTCTCTCCTCACGCTCTCTCGGGTCGGTGCTGCTGGACCGACCGAGCGGACTGATCGACCGATACGAGCCTAATTGCCGCTGCTGGTCTGTGCCTCGCCTCGGCCCGGGCGCTACCAGCACCGGCCGTCAGTGCCCCC